TCTGGGATTTCTTTGAAAGTGAAAAATCACTTCCAAAAAATTTTTGGTCAGTGCCAAGGAAATATTGCATTATTCACTAGACTTAGATTTAGAATAACTTTATTGCCACTTTGAATGTACACTAATCTGCATACATTAAAATAAAATTTCATTGTATACAACTCTCAGGGTCACTAATCTTCATTATGTAATTTTTCTCCCTGTTTAGCAGTTGGAGAACATAGTAGGGATGATCTCTGGACAGTGATCTGGATTCCAGAGCTGGGAAAAATCTGTAATGTTTTTATATAGCATTTTTAAAAATATAAAATCGTGGATCTATACAGTACAGTAGTTTGCCTTATGTCTGAAATATCATTATCTGGGTATTCATACAAAACATTTTGGACACCTGCAAATTGTGTGTGTAATTGGTGTCACTGGTCATATGTGTGGCAAACCAGTGGTTACATGCAAGGTGCCCAGGAGAGTATACAGTATTCCCCACTTAGCCATTTTTTTGGTTATGCATGATATGAACACAGCCTTTATTGACTATTCCTTTGATGTGATACATGCTATCAGCTACTGGTAGTAGTGCTTCTCTGGATTCTGTGAAAGAAAAATAGGACAAACTTTGGAGGAAAAGAATTAGTTTGACATCATCACTCAAGTTTTATATCAGAACTCAGAAGAGGGACAAAGTAAAATCAATGCATTTCAGTACTCCAGTATATTCTATGGCAGATCTCAAACTGACTTGTTTCAGAAAAATAAAACTTTAAAAGCATTATTAAGCAAGAAATACATCAAATACATAAACCATACTTATTAGTCTCTTTCCAGATCTGTACTGAGCAATCTAACTGAACTTGCTGGAAAGACTGTATTTACTTGTATTGATTATCCCTGGTAGCTTTCTTTTTTCATTGTCTCTCTTTTTTTTTTAATAAGCATTCCTTCTTTCATAAGCCAAAGCTAGATTTTCTGGACAATCTATATATTCTTTCCTGAAGTATTTCTATCTGTTATATGGCTTCTGTACTTTGCAACCTGTGTTCACACACTTTATATATTTTTAAATTGATAAGATGTGAGCAATAGTACAGTGCTTGCAAACTCAAAAACATAGCTTGATAGTATGATGTTAGTAAAAATGAGATAAAGTTGGACTTTCTTTGCAAGTAAGTCAATAATGTGCCAAAATTGACTGGTAAGGTAGAAAGTGATGTTGCATATGGTAAATACATTGTGTGTGCAATTACTAGGCAAGTGAGTATTTTGACCATATCTTCATGTTTATGCATATTTTCCATCTCCAAGCTATATAAACTTGAATGCTTAGTGGATATAAATAAGCAGATCAGGGGATGTGTATTTGTGTAATGAGGGAGGGTGTGGCCTAAGGAGATCAACCTATATCAAAGTGTGCATAATTATTAGGCAGCTTCTTTTCCTCGGGCAAAATGAGCCAAAAAAGAGATTTAACTGACTCCAAAAAGTCAAAAATTGTAAAAAGTGTTTCAGAGGGATGCAGCACTCTTGAAATTGCTAAGATATTGGAGTGTTATCACAGAACCATTACATATTGTTGCAAATAGACAACAGGGTCACAAGAACCGCGTTGAGAAAAAAAGACACGAATTAACTACAAGATTTGAGAAGGATAAAGCGTGAAGCTACCAGGAACCCACTATTCTCTAGTGTTGTTGTGTTCCAGAACTGCAGTCTACCTGGAGTGCTCAGAAGTACAATACAGAAGTATAAGGTGTTCAGTGCTCAGAGACATGGCCAAGGTAAGGAAAGCTGAAACCCAACCATCACTGAACAAGACACATAAGTTGAAACAGCAAGAGTGGGCCACAAAATATCTGAAGGCAGATTTTTCAAAAATTTTATGGAGTGATGAGATGAGAGTGACTCTTGACAGACCAGATGGATGGTCTGTGGCTTGATCAATAAAGTGCACAAAGCCTCACTTCGAGTCAGATGCCAGCAAGGTGGAGGTGGGGTACTGGTATGAACTGGTATTTAAAGATGAACTAGTTGAACTTTTTGGGTTGAAGATGGACTCAAAATCAATTCCCAAACCTACTACCAGTTTTTAGAAGACACTTTCTTCAAGCAATGGTACAGGAAGACTGCATCTTTCAAGACCATGATTTTTATGCAGGACTCGATCGCATGCATCGAAGTACTCCACTGCATAACTAGCCAGTAAAGGCCTTAAAGACGAAAAAAATAATGACACCGTCCCCTTCCTCATCTGACCTAAACCCTATTGAGAAATTGTGGGCTCTTCTTAAATGGGAGATTTATAGTGAAGGAAAACAGTACACCTCTCTGGACAATGTCTGGGAGGCTGTGGTTGCTGTTGTACAAAAAGTTGATCATCAACAGATCAAGAAACTTGACAAGACTCCATGAATGGAAGGCTTATGACTGTTATTGAAAAGAAGAGTGACTATAATGCTCATTGATTATTTTATTTTGAAATGACAGAAATGTTTATTTGTAAATTTTGAGTTTATTCTCACTTTAACAGATGAAATTAAATGAGTGAGTTGGGAAATTTTTCATTTTCATTTTGTTGCATAATAATTCTGCACACTAATAGTTGTCCAATAATTGTGCATAGATATTCCCCTAAGAAAACCAAAACCTCACTTTTACTTTCTTAAATATCCAGGTTTGAAGTTTATTAACATTTTGGATTGACTGAGAGCACTGTAGTTGTTCAATAATAAAGTTAAACCTCAAAAATACAACTTTCCTAATAATTGTGTATGTGAGATAGCTAGGCATTCGACAGCCTATACACTTATTGACCAATGAAAATGAAAATTAAATAAACATTGTATTTCTTAAATCTGTATCTGTTTATGACTTACAACAGCTCATTTAGTGACCATTTAAAGTTACAATGTCACTGAAAAAAGTGACTTATGACCATTTTTCACCCTAACGACCATTGCAGCATCTCCATGGTCACATGATTAAAATTCAAATGCTTGGCAACTGACTCATATTTATGACGGTTGCAGTGTTTCAGGATCATATGATCCCCTTTTGCAACCATCTGACAAGCAAAATCAGTGGGGAGGGCAGATTCACTTAACACCCCTATTACTAACTTAACAACTGCATTGATTCACTTAACAACTGTGGTAAGAAAAGTCATAAAATGGGGCAAAACTCGCTTAACAAATGTTTCCCTTAGCAACAGAAATTCTGGGCTCAGTTGTGGTCGTAATTTGAGGACTGTCTGTATACTGTGAAGGCAGGTTGGTTTCCTAAAATCTAATCTAACATTTCTGTCTTATATCATTAATATAGATAAGGAAGTGAAGATTCAGGTTTGATTAAGGATGAAAGGACTAATATGTCCGAAAGCATAAATTGGTATGGAATATTGAAAAAAAAAGTTAGATAAGTTGAATAGATGGGTTTGAACAAGATTAGAGAATACATAAAATATCTAGATTATTTAGAGACCTAAGGATGAATGACATGGTGATAGTGAGGATCTGTTTAGGAAAAATGTCTGTTTTAAACTTAGCCTTATTCATATTACACATGGTAAAGGAATAATTCCAAAATTAATTTGATTGTTTATGATGAAAGATTAGAATATATGCAATTGTCCCTTAACAACTGCCCTGTTTAGCAACCATTTCTAATTATAATAGTTCTGAAAACGTAAATTTTGAACTGATCCTCACGCTTGCAACCATTGCAGTGTCCCATGGTCAGAAGATCAGCATTTGCATACTTTATAGCCAGCTTCCAACAAGCAGTCAATGGAGAATCCAGCTGTAAAATTGCAAGTTACGGTCATGTGATGTTTCACTTAACAACCCTATTGGTTAGTAATTGAGTTGCTGATTCCTCTTTGGATTTTTAAGCAAGATTGTAATTTCTGAAATATATAAGGGTGACAGTTTCTAAATGTGGGACAGATTATTATTTAGTAGCAGAGCTTTGGGGGGAAATGAAAGTGAAGAAGAGAAATGAAACGAAGACGAGTAGAATGAAAGTAGATGAACTGTAAGAATAATACAAGTCCAGTCTGAAAAATTATTGGAATGAACGAAAAGACATAAGAAGGCTTGGAATCCATATAGAACCAAGTAAAATGAATTGTGTTATGGAATATCACAGTAAGGGGCGAAATTATGGTAATGGAAAATATGAAAAAGTTATGTTTAGTGGAAAGAGGATGTAAAAAAGCTGTAAGTGAGAAAATGCAAATAGAAGAATACACGTAGTTCTCAACTTACAACCACAACTGAGCCCAAAATTTATGTTGCTAAGTTAAACATTTGTTAAGTGAGCTTTGCCCCATTTTACGACTTTTCTTGCCCCATTTGTTTAAGTGAATCACTGCAGTGATTAAATTAGTAACATGGTTGTTAAGTGAATCTTGCTTCTCCATTGACTTTGTCAGAAGGTTGCAAACAGTGATAACTTGACCCTGGGACACTGCAATTGTCATAAATGTGAATGCAGAAATAGAAAAATCTCTTGCCTCCTGCGACAGAGGTTATGTAAAGAATTTTATTGTTTTCAGGCAAAACTTAAAAAAATCTTCAGTGAGTGATACTCCAGATGACTTTATAAATATATCCATGAAATGTTTTGGTAACAGAATGAACTCTTCTGACATCCAGGATGCTTTTTTTTTTTTTACTTTGCCATATATATTGCAAGCCTGGGGTTCTGCTATCCAAATACTAACTAGAAACAGTCCTTCTAGGCTTCACAAATCAGACCAGTTTAGTCAGAAGCTGCTATATGCTGAAATACAGTCCAGTCTAAAAGCATGTTACTTGAGTTTACACTTTTGTTGAATATGCCCATTGTTTTGAAGTCTGATTTGGAAGACATACTGGGCTGGGGGTTAGTAAAACAGTACAGCTTAAAAGGATGATTGCCACATTAACTGGAGGCTGTGGGTTCTGGCTTCACAGTAACTTATGAAAGAGTCAAATTCGATGTAGGCTTGGTCTGTTGGCAGTTCTACACTGCGAATCCCAGTATAGATTTTCCTTCCCTGTTTGAGTAAGCTCTCTGTCAGATTTCTCACCCATCAGTCATTTCTCTGAGATATGTCACTGTCCTCTCTCATCTGGATTGATTCCTCTGCTTTGTGTGCTTCTGCAGGGTAGAAAATTTGCCTTTCTTTGCCCTTGTTATGTTGTGCTAATTGTGCCTTCTTTGTAAATTCTGTAGCCTCCTCCAATACGTCTGTTGGAAGACGTGATTTCAGCTCTTGAAGTTTATGTTCCACGCTCTCTTTCAAAACATCAATTGTAAAATTAATCTGTCTTCTTATTTCATTGAGAAGAGAGACCAGATTACCTTAAACAGTCCCATCTGTTTCTTAGAGCCCAGCTTTTCATACAATCAGTAATTGAAGCAGCACTTGTAAAAAGCACAAAAGTCTGCTGAATAGCCACTCTGCAACTCTGCCCTAGTTTGTGGCTGATGGTCAGAGGTGGTATTCAGCAGGTTCTGACCAGTTCTGGAGAACCGGTAGCAAAAATTTTGAGTAGTTCGAACAACTGGCAAACACCATCTCTGACTGGCCCTGCCCCCATCTATTCTCTACCTCCTGAGTCCCAGCTGATCAGCTGGGTCTTCTTTTGTTGCCCTGCACAAGAATGGAGCTAGAAAGCAGGTTAGTGGGGTGACTGTTTAGTGACTGTTCGAAGTTACAATGGCACTGAAAAAAGTGCTGTTAAAAGTGACTTATCCCACCCCTTATAAAAGCAATTTATTATATAAGAGGATAGTTTTTTTCTTCTGAAGTATATAATTTTGTATGTTATTATACTACTGTATTTACTAGTTTATAATATATATTAATGTATAAAATAGTTTTAAAATGCTTACTGTAACATTTTAAATATATAATAAAATTATTTTTAAAAGGTTGGTTAATGCCAGAATTATTACAAGTGAGCCTTCACATAAGCAACATATTTTTGGATGCAGGGTAAACATTAAACAGTAAATATAATTTGGTTAGTGTGTAAAATTTTCACACTGAATAATTAATCTGCTGAATTTGACGATGTAAAATATTTTTCAGGTTCAGATTTAGCTTTCTGTGCTAATAAAGTTCAAAATAGTACTGATAACTTACAAGGTATGTGTATGTATTTTTGTTTGACATTTCTGTGAGCATTTATCTTTATATTGTAGGTGAAACAACAGAATGTGGAGCAAAAAAGCAAATGAATTTACCTTACACAATCCAAAGTTCTCCCAAAACAGGAATTCCATTAGAGGTATGAATTAATTTAATTTTAATCTCACTTGGTGCAAATAATTTTATCTGACTCTCTAAATTTTAATGGAACAGAACAGAAATTTGTGTTAAACTGAAATGATATCCGTTGGGAAAAATGATCAGCTAGCAAGATCTGCTTTTCTTATTCCTTAACTTCTGCTAGCAAAATTTTGGCTTCTATTTGCAAATTTGTTAGTGAAAGCTAAACAACAACAACAACAACAACAACAACAACAACAACAAAAACAACAACAACAACAACAATAACAATAATAATAATAATAATAATAATAATAATAATAATAATAATAATAATAATAATAATAATAATAATAATAATAATAATTAATAATTAATAATAATAAACTGAATCACTGGAGGATGAAGGCCTCTTCATTGATAGTTATAGACCTAAATCTGATAACAGTGGTCCAATGCAGGCTGGTAGATATTTCTAGATTTCCTAGTTTAAGTTTCAAATTCACCCAAGTGGTTTCCATGCTGAAAGGAAGACTAGAACCTGGGTCCTCTGCTCCTAGCTCCTAATCAGCCTCTTAACCACACCATCCTCATTAAAGGCTAAATTAAGCAGTATTAAATTTGCACTTAAAATTAAAATTGCTACCAGTAGTCAACATACCTTAATGGAAGATGCATATTTGAAAAAAACACTGGAATTGTAAAATAATTGTCTACAGAAACTTTTTTAAAATACACAAGTATTTTTACTTTTACTAAACCAATGCTTTCACATTTTTAAGGTTGACATATTGCTAACATGTTATCTAATCAAATATTATTTTAATGCTCTTAATGCACACTAAGTATCATACATTATAGTTTGCCCCGTGTGATTTCAAAGCTCAGCATCACCTGATAGCTTCCATGTAAAATATGTTGATTGAAGCTGGTTGACTCTATAGATTAGGTTTACAAATTGTAATAACTCAGAAAGCATGGCTGGCATTTTATGGGTTAGGACTCTGAATGAAACAGAAAATGGGTCTTGTTTTGAACCTGAAACAAAGTATTACATTTCAGAAGTTCTGTTGAACCATTTTTGATATGTCATGATTTGATAGAAACAAAACCTGAAACATTTTAGTTGTTCAATTTGGTGTAGTGTTAGGGCACCAGAGTAATCTGGCTGCCAGCACTGAACATGCCAGCAACAAGAGGACACAAATTAGGTTATGCTGATGATTTGGCCATAGCAGTACAAGAAAAACATATGGAGGTGGCAGACAGCCTCCAGTCCAAAGATCTTAAAATCTTGGGAAAATTATTCACTGACTGGAGGCTCATTCATAGCACCAGTAAAACAGTAACTACGTCTTCTATCTTATCAACAAACTAGTATAATGAGCCCCAAAGATCTACTTGAACAACAACCTACTCCCCTATAATCCCCATCCAAAGTACCTTGGAGTAACATTGGACTGGACTCTTTTCTATAAAGAACACCTAGAGAATATGTCGGCAAAAATCAATACTAGGATCAACTTACTCCAAAAACTATGTGAAAATAAATAAAAATAAAATAAATGTCACTCTCAGGTCATCAGGACTAAGGTTGGCCTACTCCGCAGTAAAATACTGTGCCCCTGTATGGCTTAAAAGCTGCCATACTGGTAAGTTAGATGCCATGAGATTATAAGCAGCAGATGTATTAAAACCATTCTAACTTGCTGGTTTCCTGTTCTAAGCCATATAACATCACCAGCTTTGTGAGAGAATACAGAACAGAAAAATTATGAACTCCTACCGGTGTACACTGACCTTCCTCATTTATCAGCCAGAAGATTCAAATCCAGGAAAACCACTGACATTTGCACATCTTCCCAATAACTTTGATTCCCAATGGAAAACCAAATGGTTTGCTGAACATCCAGATATAGGAAGACATATAGATGACCCCACTAAAGTGGCAGCAAAGGACAATCCTGAATAGGATTCACACCTCACACGACATCTGCTGGGATTCTCTGTATAAGTGAAGCATAGTATCCTCCCCTCAGTGTGATTACAGAGGTCCCATGTCAAATTGTAGATCACTAAAGACATATACCTGTCCAGTATCTGGTGTTTTTTTTTAAGTGTAAACAGTGCTGTGCTTCAATGGTTAGATGGCCTAGACATTGTTTTTTGAACACAGATCTTTTTAACATTTATATTTTATTGTGTTTTACATATCTAGATGAAATATTAATATATATTGCTAATCTATGTATGATATGCCATACGCTAAATAAATAAATAAGGTACCAAGAGGCCCTGAGTTCAAGTCCCATCTTAACCATGAAAGCCAGTTGGGTGACTTTGGGCCAGTTACCTTCTCTCAGCCCAATCAACCTCACAGAGGTTGTGTGTGTTATGTATATGTGTATGTGTGTGTTAGTTGATGTTATTAGTAAAAATAATAAAAGTGGAATATAAATAAAATGATATATGATTTTAAAAGGCAAATAGGGCAAAACTTGATTTCGTTGCTTTTTCCATCTCCTTCAAAAACAAATTATTAATTCTAGTGCTGTTCTAATTTCCCCTGCTTGGTTGGTGTACCTATTCCTTACTAGAAGTTGCCAGCCTGGTATATAAGCATACTTTGGAAATGCTGAGGGTTTAATTCCAGACCACTACAATAAAGCAGATACCTCAATAAAGTGAGCTAGGTGAATGTTTTGGTTTCCCAGTGAATATTTAAGTTACATTTACACTATGCTGTGAACTATTAAGTCTGCAGTAACTTGTCTAAAATATTATACCTTAATTAAAAGATTAATCAATGCTAAAAAATGTTAAGCAGCATCTGATTCTTCAGTGAGTAGTAATTTTTTGCTGGTGGATGGTCTTGTAAAGAAACCTAAAATATTTATGCAGTGCAATAAACTAAGGGGTAATAAAATGAGATATACCTGCATTTTGTCATCTTGCCTATTGATTCCCAATCTTCCCAATGTTTTCCATTTTTTAACTTCTCTACCTCCGCTCAGCCACTGCTGCTGCTATCAATGTTAGCAAAACAAAACAGGAAAGAGCCTTTTGCGGTCTACACAGGCAGTAAGCAGGCCCTCCCTAATATCACAATTGTCACGGGAAGGATTATCCATCTACTTTTCCTACTCAGCCTTGGCATTTTCTTGCCCCTCACCACAAAAACATTTCTGCTTGGAACAACCATATTTTGTTTTTTATCTGAATCAATGCTTCTGAAGCATACATATCTTCGTTTTGATATGAGCCACCTGAAACAAGCTATTCTATATACAAAATCATTTTGTGCATGAACCATTTTGTTTTGCCCTAGATTGGGTTCATACAGCAAAGTAACCCCAAACCAGATAAACTTATATTATGGCTTATTGTGATGTGTAAATCTGGCCACCGTCAAGTAAGTATAACCAGAGGAAAAATATTGTGAATAGATTGTTTTAAACAGTATTTAAAACTGTTACTGAACATTGCAATATGTTTGTCACAAAAGTGATCCTTGAATTCAATTTTTTGTACAGATTTAACAACAGCATGGAATTCTTTTTCACAAACAAAGGCAACAGTAAGTAGTATTTAGCACTGAGTTAAAAGAAATTGAAAATAATTATTATTTAAAAATGAAAAGTAACAACTTATGCTTAACTTGTAAATGTTATAGGACAGTAAAAGATTAAGATACTTTTTTAGTAAAATACAATCAGGAATCAGCCACCTCTTACTTTGTTCTATCTGGACACTTGAGTTGTTTCTTACGATCCTAGGATTCCCAAAATCAGGAAGCTGCTGTCTTAATTCCACAGATACTGTCTTCTTGTCCATACTGTTAGTGAGGTCTTACCTTTTTCTTGCTTCCTTATTTCTGTCAGTCACCCAGATTTTAATTTTAGTTCTCTGAAAATGCAATTGATCTGCTAAGGTAACTCTTCTCAAAAAAACTTAAGAAATTTGCTTGAAAGTTTTCCAATGTAATGAATTTGATGTATTTGGCCTGATACATCAATTTTTCATTCATTCTTTTTTCAGGATTGAAAAGTGTAATATAAATTATTTCCTGCAATGAAAATGTTTGCATTAATGTGAAATTATTTTTGATTGTACAAAGCTGAAATTAAAATCTGAGTTCATTTTACTTAGGTTAGGGAATGTTTCATGCAATTTTAGTAAGCTTTTTAAAACTTTTTTTTAAAGTGGCGATATAACAGATTTAAAATGTTGATACCTTTCCTATCTCATTTAATCTACCAAGTTGCAGCATATTGAGAACAAATTGGAAGTAGCTCCTATTAGCACGGCCAGATTGGATACTGTCATGGAAAAAAAGCCATCAATTAGTACTACCAGGAAAATAAGCAGGAAAGGTATGTATTAAACCCTTTTCAAAAATGAGCTTTCAGTTGCTTATGGTAGCATTTTTAAATGGAGCATTTTTAGTCTGCAACCTGCAAAATCAACAAATTACAAATGGCAAAACTTGAAAATTTTGTTTGGGAATTGAATTGCTATGTGTTGGCCGGTGGGGTATCTTAAGTTCTTGTAGTGAAAAAGTTCTACATTGAAAATAATTATGGATGCTGTTATTGCTGGTGTATGTGAAGAACAGGAAGAAAAACTACCTGAGATTGTTTCTTGTTTTTGTAACCAGAAGATTGTCTTCATAATGTTTCCAGTTTGCATAACATTAGCGTTTTGTTTATTAGGGTTATGCAGCGTTTCACTTTATTTACAACAAAGTGTTTTGGGTATAATAGTACATAGCATCAGTCAGCAATTTTTTAAATCAAATCAGTATTTTTTCCCCCTCATAAATCTATTCCAGCAGTACAGGGCAACCATGAAACCCTGGGATAAAACAGATTTTAAAGAGTTCCCAGCAAGTGCTACATAAGCATCCCATCATCATCCTTTCCATTCTATCACCATCATCACCCTTTCCACTCTGCATCATTAACCCTTCTACTGCAGCTCTGGGTGTGTTCTCGACCTCCCATTAAATATAAGCCTTGGCCATGACAAAGCTGTTTCTGTTTTATAGCCTAAGCTTTTGGGCAGCAATTTCTTTAGGCCAGATATTCTTAGGGTTGTTGTTATTGTTACACCATGATTGTTTTTCTCAGGAGCTGTCAGAACTGTTTTTATTCTCCTTAATGAAATTGCTTTTAAAATTTTTCCTTTTCCTCTCATTTTTTATTTCTTCATTTTGTAGTTTTAGATATTTCAGGAACAAGGATGTCTTTTGTGATTTTCCCCATATCTTTCTTTTTATTACAAGTTTTTGTCTATAAATCAAATTTTGTGTATTTTTTCTGGTGGTGACATATTGCAAAATTCAGTTTATTTTGCTAGGCATTTACAAAATCACCAAGTCACTAAAACTGAGACTAATATAGAAGAAAAGATTTTAAGTAACATAGTTGCTTAAAAAAAGCTGATCAAAGAGAGAGATGACAATTTATATTTAAGATTTTACATAAAATAAAAAAATCTAAAGAGAAAATGTGTAAGACAAAAATTAAAGAAAAGCAAAAGTTATGAAATTCAATGACTTTTGACCTCTTCAGTAGATATTAACAAACCTATCATTTCTTTCTCTTTTTGAAAAAATCTCTTTAGCCCTTATTTAATTCTCATCTGTTTGAATCACTAAATACATACATCATTTGTTGTTTTCTTCTTTTAACTAAAAGTTCAAAGAAGATTTCCACTCTTTTAAAAAAGCATTTTTTTCCTCCCTGATCAAACAGGTTTGCCATTTCTGACATTTTTACAATCCATCCCTCCATTGTAGGAATTTCAGTACTCTTCCATTTTTGTGCATATAATAATCTTGACATTAGTAATACATACAAATTTAGTCTTTTCTGATTTGGGATTCATAAATTCCAATAACAATTTATGGGTATTTTGCAATATTAATCTTTAAAATTCTTTGTATAGTTGTATATATTTGTATCCAATATTTCAGAGCTTTTTCACAAGTTCACCACAGATTGTAAAACATCCATGTTTTTCACATTTCCTGCACTGACAACCTACCTTTATACATTTTTGATAATTTCTTTGGCATCATGTACCAATAACATATTTTATGTAAAATATTCTCTTAAAATATAACACAATGTAAATTCTATTTATCCACATTCTTTGTTGTGTATCCTTCTTATGTAAAATATTCTCTTTAAATGTAACACAATGTAAATTCTATTTATCCACATTCTTTATTGTGTATCCTTCTGTATACTATAGCCAAAATTGGTAGCCCACTTTATTATAACTGTTTAACTTGTTCATCTTTGGTTTCAAAACTAAATAAAAGTTTATACATTTTTGCAAATACATGTTTATCATTTGTACAAGATTCACTTTCAAATTTCATTGTAGGTTTTCAATTCAATTACATGTATATATTAAATCATTCTTTTAATTATATGTGAACCATTGAAAACAATATACCTCTGCAATCAGTTCTCTTGACTTAAATTCTCCATGTTTCTGAATTAGTAAATCCTGATATGTCTCTCATTTTTCTCTCTCTCTTCTGTTCTTCTTTTCTAAAATGCTTCCAGTGGTAAGACCAATAAAAGGCATTTTCAGACACAGCCTGGATTTGTAAATGTTTCATATTCTTAGTATGGCATTTCTCACATAATGATTTTTAAAATCCACCTTAAATTTTACTTTATTGTTCCATAAACATCCATGCCAAGTTACATCCTTTCAATTCTAGCATGCTTCTATTTCTCAGCAATACTCTATCTTTCATCCAAACTAAACAGTTGCCTGCAAAATACAGTTTAAAGTTAGGTAAGCCCAGTCCTCCTCTATCTTTTGCATCTTTCAGTTTTTTATATTTAAAGATTGGTTTCTTCCTTTATCACACAAATCAAATTTTTGCCATTGTTTAAATGCTGCTTCACTTTTAAAAACTGGTATTGTTTCAGTGGTGGTATTCTACTGGTTCGGACCGATTCTGATGTACTGGTACCACCGAAGATCAGCTGTCAGAGAACCGGTTCACTCCGAACCTCTCCAATGCTCTGCAGTTGGGCCCACCCGTCTGTCCTGCTCCTAGGTCCTTTTTAACCTCTCAGTTGTTTGGTGCGGCAGAGCAGATTGCTGTGCTAAACAGCTGAAAGGTGCAGTAGCTTAGTTTTTACTGTTTTAATGCATGCACAAAGCACATTTTGGTGTGCACATGCACATGATCCCACCCCTGCAGCCACGTCCACCAAGCCATGCTCACAGAGCCGGTGGTGGGAACTTTTAAATCCCACCACTGTATTGTTTGAAATAAAAAACATTCTGGGCAATATACCGTGTTTCTCATATAATAAGGCCGGGTCTTATTTTTTTTTGAGCCCCGAAAAAATGGCTAGGCCATCTTTTCAGGGGTGACTTAATTCCCCACCCTTGCATCTTCGGGTGGGTGGGCAGGCAGCGATGGCTTGGATGTTGACTTCGGCGTTGGTGGGGCACTTCATATTGGGGTCAACGCAGGCAGCACCATATCCGGGTGTGCAACAAAAGTACTTCCTAACGGCAAGCCCCCCCACCATTCCCCCCCATTTTGCATGTTTTAATATAGGCCTTAATTTGGGGGAGGGGCTTAATTTCATTTCATGCCTATAAAACATGCTGGGACTTCCTATTGGGGGAGGCTGTATTGTTGGAGAAACAGGGTAGTACATTCATTTTTATGACAGAAATTCTACCAAGCGATGATAGTTGCATTTTTCCCAATCTTAATAAATCTTAATTATTCCATACCTTTACATCATTCATAATTATTCTGAAATAACATAGATTTTATTAAATATAATAGTGTCCAAAAATTTAACTATTTTTTCAACCTGAAAACTAGTATTCCCATTCAATTCTATTTGATCTTATATGTTCATATTTTTGTTAATAGTTTATTTTTCTCATTATTAATTTTAAATGCAGCTTTGTAGAAGCTGTGATAAGTCCCAGTATAGAAGATCTTAGGTCTGCTATAGGAGAATAGTACATTGAACTTAATATGAAAATCCTTTTGTAAATCAGAGACAGAACAAGTAACCCTATCAGGCATTAAAAAGAGAGAAAGTGAGAGAGAGGGAAATGAGCATTATCAATATTTGCAACTGAAAGGCAAATTTATTTTTTTACTTCCCCCCTATGTTTCTTAAATTCTTTATTCTTTAAACACTCTCTTTCCTGCTTTTCATTCCAAAATGAAAGAAACAGTTTTCTCCACTCAGAATCATTGTTGGAAGCTTTTTCTAACCCTGCTTCCAAAATGAATATAGGTATGAATACAAAGGTGGTCCCTTGTGTAATCATGCCGCAATGTGCCACTTCTGACATTTGAAGTCAGGAGATAGGCTGTGGTTATATGTGCTAATAACTATTACTAAGGCGAATAAACACTTCTATAAACAGAATAGATTAATAAAAGAGAATATTTGTAACTCAGGATTGAAATGAAGGGCCCTTAGAGCTTGGTTTTCTTGCAGACGTTTGATTCAACAGTGGTGATGTTACCTAGTTTGGGTCATGAAATGTCTGCAAGAAACCAACCAATCTCAGAGAGCACCAAGAACTTCCATGGAATGGATTGATGCAATTGGAATAAGTCATTGTGTCATAACTTCTATTTTCAACTGCTATTTTCAACGTTCTATTTAAACTCTTCAGTGAGAAGCAGAAAATGAGCAGCATTAGTTGTTTTCTGTTCTTGCTTTCTGTCCGAAATGTTGTGTTATATACGGCAGCCACTTTTGCCCCAAACTACGTTGACATTAAAGCTGCAGAGTAATACTAATTAATGTTATTGTAGATGTTTAACCATAGTTCTTAATATTTATCCTTAATTAGAAATTTAATATTTAGTTTCTTAAAGCAATGTATTATATTTCATGATTTATAATTAATTATGGACTGGAAAATTGCTATTATTTTGGCTTTAGGGACCTTTTTTTACTGAGCTTTATTTTCTTCTGTTTCTTTATTATTTCTAAAATTCCTAATAAAATAAATAGGTAATAAAAATGGGAGAGAAAAAAGTAAGCTTATAAATTTGACATAATGTAAAGCTTCCATTAGCAGTTCACAAATGTGTGAATATCTTTTACCATAGTTTCACTCTTTAGGGTTTTCAAAACAAAATAAATAAATAAATAAAACTAATTTAGTCTTTAAATATAAAGAGTATAAATAACATTCAATTCTGAGGCTCTTTCAATTACCAGGCTAATTAAACTGGGTCAGTGTAAAAATCTTTCACCAAGACAGTAATGTGGCTAGGAAATTTTTCTCCTGCTGCCAATTACATGTAACTGAAATTATCCCAAACTTGTTGTGTTGTCATCTGGTTATTCTT